TTTACATAAATAATGTTTGGTGATGTTTTAATGTTAAAAAATATATTAATTCTATATATTCTTAATTTATGCCCTTGATTTATTTCTTCAAAATATGAGTTATGAACTCAAATTCATGGTAAAAATATATAGCTCAATTTTCTATTTTGCACTACTTCTAAAAAAAAAAAAAAAGAACAACAACTTGCATTACAGTATTACACTAACTTAATATATACATATGAGTAGAAACTTATTTACATATAAATTTTATATATTATATTTATACAAAATTTTTAATCATTCAAATAGTTGAAATTTATTCACATTTATTAAATATAATTATTTTTTATTTAAAAAATGTGATAAATCTCAATTATTAAAAATAAATAGATAAATTGTTAAAATTTTGTAAAAATATAATATATAAAATTTAAGTGTAAATTAATGGATTCCCTTCTATATATATTATAAAAATATATTTAAAATTAGTGTTTATCTATTTTGCTTCTTAAAAATTAAGAAAAAAACCATTTTAAAATTACATTATTTCAATAAAATATCATAAAAAGACCAAAAATAATTTATTTTATGTTTTAAAATTAATTTATTTTAAAATCACGAATCTTCCAATGACAGAGAGTAAGAGTTTCAACTAAGGGCGGCGAATTGAGTCAAATCTCCATTTTTGATACCATACATTGGCGAAGGATTGAAGGAAGTTGGTGTGCATTTTCATTTGAAATGTTCCCCACGGTTTTGCTATGTCTATAGTGAAATTATATTTTTATCAAGAGGATTTTTGAAAGGTAGTTTGTGGCTGACTGCTTAGACAAACATATATTCAATGATTAGTTATTTAGTTTGGACTTTGGATTCGTTTAATTTTTCGGAATATGATGAAAATGAAACATTGAATTTAAATTGCATTGCCTCGGATCCCTTGGAATCCAGCCTGAAAGATATATGGAAACAACTGAAGTTGACAAAAAACAAAAAAAAATTAGTAAACTTAATTAGAAGGAGCCGTCGGTCATGCAATCATATTAACTAAAATTAACAGTTAGTGTTTTTAACACCTTCAAATGAGTCATGGTTATTGTTTACAATTTAATTCTTTTTATCTCTATTTTATTAACTAAATTTTGATTTTTAATCAAAGTTACAATAAGATAATTCCTTAGTTTGGGAGGCCTTGGGGTACTTTCATATACTTATTTGGATATATGGACAAATTATCAAGTGGGAATTAGATTAATGGGTAATTTCCCACTCTTAATGAGTTACAAAAGCAAGCTTTTTGGTTCAATGTTGTGACATTTTAACCATCTTTGTCATGGATAGCAATGGCGGTGGTCGGAATGGGATGCGTGCTGAGGCAGAATAGGAGAAGCAAGGTATTTTAAAATCCTTTTGTCTCGTTAGGAAGAATAAGTGTGCTTAATTAAAAAAACTTGGACGGACTAGAAAAGGGGAGAGTGGTTGAGGGATTGTTATCATAATCAATAATTAACACAACCACCCTTCGATTTATACATCCTTTTTGGATGTAGACACCCATTTTTATAACTTTTGGATCTATTAATATGTATCGTCTTATAACTTAATTTTAAATTTTAAGTTTTTGAATTAATATTTAAAAAATTAATTTTTTTAAATATATTAGATTAGTGTGAAGGCTTGCTCTTAAAATTATTTAAATAAAAATTAATCCCAAAGTACATGAAACTTATTTTGAAAACACCTTGATTGTCAAAAAAAACAAAAGAAAAAGAAAAAGAAATACACCCTTCCCTCCCCTCTCCTCCATTACAACATATTGCGTGATATAAGAAATATGCGAGTTGTTGGGATATATACCATTAGCATGGTAGCCCAGCGGCCGGTTTCCCTTCACAGCCTAAAAGCTGAAATTAAATTAGGCCAAACTAGATTTTCGTAAGAATGCTCTACTATTTTAAGAAGCTTTTGCAGTAGAAGATGTTTGAAAAAGAGTTTTTGTAAGTAAAATCCTGACGAGCTGCTCATAATCATTCCATGTAATTAATCTAGTACTTTTAGAATACATTTACAAAACTTTGCAGTGTTTTGTTTGAAAGGGAAGGGAGGAAAAATAAAACTTATAATTAATCAAATTATTTTGTTAGTTCAACAATTTAATTTGATTGGTCAAAATAAAATTACTTTCGTTTTCCTCTAATTCTTTCAAACCAAACAGGTTATTAGAGACTAGCTATATATTGCGGGAAATGCTTTTAGTACAATTTTTTTATCTTACCTTTTTGTACAAGTTAATGTGTCATTAAAATAATTAATTTTTTTAATTTATATGAGACCCATGATATTGAATGCATATAGATATTAAATGCATATACTTATTTAATAACATGCAAAAATTGTATAAAAATATGGAACAAAAAGGTTGTCCCTATAGCACCTCTCATATATTGCCAATGAATTTGGTTTAGTAATTAATGGAAAGGGTTAAGTCTCTAAAAAGGATTATTGTCATATTCCGAATTATTAGAAATATCATAAATAAGAAAATATTTACAGACTGTAATGGGTTTGACGTCTGCAAAGACGTCCGAGACTACAATTTGTTTTGCCTTATATCACGGAGGAGATTAGAGACATGGTTGGTTAAGTAGGATATTTTGTTACTCAACATTTGAGAGAAATCATAAATAAATAAACCTTGTTTACCTAACAATGTGTGCGTGCATTTTTAAGATTTAATGAATAGTAATGCTACACAAACTGAAATGATATACATACACATGCATAAAATTGTAAATTTGTAATAATAATATGATACTAAATGAGTAAATATATAAGGATCATGATTAGTGTACACTTGAATTCAACACCTGAGTGTGCACACTCCACGTAACCAAAGATAACCAAAAGATTTTAAAAGTGTAATTACAAATTTACCCTTTCTACTTTCTTCCTCTTTTTTTTTTTTTTTTCCCGAGCAGAACCCAACCTTCCCTTCTTCCCTTTTTTTTGTTTTTTTGTTTTTTCATTTTTTCTCCCAGGCAGGGTTCTGCTAGGTTGCCGGGTTCTACAGCTCGGGTTCTGCAGCAGAACCCAGCATCAGCAGAACCCTGCATCTGGGTTCTGTTGCTGGTAACCCAGCATGAGCAGATCGGGTTCTGCTCGGGAGAAAAAATTTACCAAAAAAAAAAGAAAAAAGAGAAAGAAAGTGAAAAGGGTAAATTTGTAATTGCACTGTTAAAATCTTTTGATTATCTGTGGAGTGTGCACCCGGGTGTTCAATCATAATGTGCACACATCATTTTCCAATATATAATATATCAATTTGTGAGTAAAACTTCTAGCAAAATAAGTTAAATATCTGATAACATATTATAATTATAA